ATAGTAGTTTCCGTTTTCTTTTCCATTATCCCTATATAACCCCCTAATCCCTATAGTAGTCCCCTATATGGGTGGTTGTCAAAATTATGGTCCCTTTTGGGTACCCTAAATATTAGGTGCCATAATATAATAGGGATCCAATCAGGGACCATAATTTTGACAACCACCCATATAGAAGTTTAGACCATAGCTCTTATTCTCCCTCTTCTTCTCCAAGGTCGGGCGGCCAGCGCTCGCGCCATGCGCTCATAGAGGACCCCAGCGTTGCCATCCCGGTCCATCTCCTCGGCTTCTGAGCCCTATGACCAGTCTTCATAAAGGGGGTTATATAGGGGATTAAATAATTACCAATATCATTATGGTTTAGGGCTATAAGGTTTAGGATAATTATATAAAAGGGATTGTATAGGGGATTGCTATAGGGATAATGGAAAAGAAAAACTGGAAACTACAATTTAGGGTTTAGGGTCTATGAGCTATAGTCTTCATGAAGGGGGATATATAGGGGGTTATACCCCCAATAATGGAGAATCAAATGGAAAAGAAAATGGAAAATGAAATGGAAACTAGAATTATGTAGGGGGTTATAGGGTTGTATAGGGGATTTTGTAGGGAACTACTATAGAGGTTCTTGAGGGAATTGCTAGGAGTTTAGATCATATGTAAGCTATGCGGCTGTTAAAAACATGTAGGAACTTTTGGGTTTAGGGCTTAAGGGTTGAGAGTAGACTTGAAACTAAGTTACCATGATACGGATCTATCGTGAATCATGTGGTTTTACAAGATCTGTTTTTGCAGAGTTTGTTTGCAGAGCAGCCAAGTAAGCGAGTCTCCCTAAATCCCTGAACCTTATGCTTTTCAAGGTGACCTCCTGAATCGACTTCAGACTTAAGTTTAAGCTACTCCAAATCATGTGTAACCCAAGCAACACCTATTTGTTGTTGTCTGAGGTTAGGAACTCGTTTTCTTTCAAGTCTGGGAGGTGTTGGTGCCCAAAACTGCCTTCGCCTTGAAGCTTATCTTGGACCACTAGTTCGGCCCGAAAAATATATTTAAATCTAGGGTGTTTTATTCATGAAGAGCACGGATTCTTCAAGTTCCTCAATGGCAACCCAGCAACAAAGCCCTCAGGGTGTAAGCAATAGGCACTGTAGTACAGGTGTTCCGAAAGCCGTATAAATATTGAGTATACCATTGGACTTGTGGGGAAAGGGTGGTTTGGGGCCTAAGGTCTTGTATATGATGAGAATAGTGGACTTAACATCTAAACCTTGGATCCGTGGAGTCCAGGAGAAGCCGTAACAGGAGCCCAAGACAGGGCTTGAGATTTGCAAGAATCTGAATGGTCTCCTTCGAAATGCAAAGGAATGCTGTATACCTTTGCGCGCCTTGATGCGCTTATCTTCCTTTCATTGTTTTCACAGTTGCCATCACCTGTTAAGCGAGCAGTGCGGGTCATAGTACAATCAAGTGTTGAGGTTCATACTCGGTGTAGGTGGGGCCTTAAGTACGTTAGATTTGTTGAAGAAGAAGTGCCTGCTTGCTTGCCCTCCCTGCACAAGGCCACGAATGAGACCTCATTGGAGATCATTTGGGTGGTTGTCAAAAATGTGGTTCCCTTTTTGGGTATCCTAAATATTAGGTGCCGTACTATAATAAGGACCCAAAAAAGGACTATAATTTTGACATCCACCCATTTAAGCCTTAGTTTGAAGAGGGGTGCAACAAGGATAAGTTAATACAAGCTCCAAGCAGATGGAGGCATCACACCTGCAAAGCTCAGGAGCACAGATTGAGGGTTTGGGGCATCATGTCTTTTTGTACCTTCCACAGGCTCGGGCAGACCTCGCAGATACTCCAGGCCCTCATGTATCCTCAGTGGTCCATGCACGAGAGCCGAAACACTTAACGTTCAGATCTGTGGTTATGTACCCTACTAATCAAGGCCTTGTATTCTACTAACTCAGGAAGTCTAGACATGAAAAAGTTTGATGTATGCAAGCAAGACGCTGATCTTTGGACAGCCAGCTGAAACAGAGCCGCATGTGATCGTGAAACTTGTCCTGCGACCCGTCTGCTGCTACACAGTTGGGTGTGGATGTACTGTTCGGATAGTTACTGTACCGGCAGAATGAAGCAACTGACTATGGTGTGAGAATGTCCTGTGAATTTCCCAGGAAAGGGATTCCCCCTGCACTCTGAGTTACAGCAATCCATATCCTGGGGCTCAATGCCACAAAAGGCCCCTACTTCTGCAAACAACCCTATCACCCGTAAACCCTAAAGCCTGAAACTTATTCCTGAATGCTGAATTCCAAGCCAGCCCATTGTCTTGAAAGTTCCTGTTCAACATATGCTGATTGAAGCTGAACATGGCTGCGGCTTGTTCTACGTTGCGTCTTCAGCATGGACGTCCTGAAACAAGCACCCACAACAGAACAGGTCGTGCAAGACTTCTCCAATAAGTTAAGCCCCGGAACATGTGTTGGGAAAATCGTAACAGCACATGAAAACAACTACTTGAGCCATCGTTCGAGGTGGGTCCTACTTATAGCTACCTATGAACCTCCAAGCGGCCCCTCCATGCCAAACCCACCATGCAGTGGTTGTCCAAGAGTTTGTTCCAAACATGTGGTACAAAGCAGCTCCATTTATACCTGTGATCATAGTAGGCTTTCAAGAAATCCCACGTGCGGTAGAACCTACAGTCCTGAACCCCGTATCCCTACATCCTGACCTCAAACTCCTGAACTCCCACGCTGTTTGGCTGCTTGGAACCTCCTTGGTAGTTTTACCTACACGTCATAGGTCTCCTAATTTGGGTGATGGGTTGTGACTGTAGGTATCCTATGTACAGCCCCACTTATGCCTACCCTTGCAGCTCCAAGCACCCCAAAAGCCCGTCACCCTCCAAAGTCCTCATGGATGGTCATGGACTCTCCCAAGCGTCCAATCCTTCGTCCCTTCGCCTGTGACGGTCTTGTGTAGGATTTGGATTTATAGTTCAGTTCAAGGTTTATATGGGATATAGTATTTCGTGTTGCGGCTGCATGTAGACTATAGCTGTACCCAGGAATGCTCCAAATTAGAACTGGCTGTAACACTACTTACAGCTACTCAGGAGCTCCCTGGAAGGCACATAAAAGCTACGTGCAGCTGACATGGCGGAAACTGCTCTCCTGAAATTTGATTAGACTCAGGCACCCGACTACAACTACGGGGTCTGCTTTAAGCACTCCAGAAGAAGTATCTTGAGAAGCTTCCATTTGCAGCCAAGCCCCTTTACAAGTGTGGCTGGCTTGCAGTTTACGGTTAGCGTGGAGAGCTCAGGGTTTACCTGGGCCCTCCAACGTAGTTCCTTTTTGGGTTTGTTATGGTTTTTGGGTTAGGACTCTTATTAGGACTACCAAGAAGGTACTACATTGGAGGGTCTAGGTAGGCTTTAGTTCTAGAGGCGCAGGGCTCGCTCAAGCGCAGCCTCGGACTCCCCAAGCAAGGAGGGCTCCCAGCGGATAAGGGTTTATGCGCGGTTTGGGGTTTAGCTGGGTTGCTGTTAAGGAACTTAAATTAAGTTACCATATTCGGGAAACCCTCTTATTTACTACATATACCCATTATGATAACTTAATTTAAGTTCCTTAACAGCAACCCAGTTTAGGGTTTTTCTGGACAACAATGTCATCATGACGAATTCATGTGATAGCTTGGCGTGCGTCATTGGATGGCAGGGTGGCAGGTGCCCTTCAACCTCAGATGCGCTGAGCAATGAGCCCGAACTCCCTAAACCCAACAAAGCCTTGAACAACGAAGCCTTGAACCCGAACGCCAAAACTCCTAATCTTAAACCCTAAATGTCAAACCCCAAATCTTAAACCCTCAATCTTAAACCCTAAATCTTAAACTCTAAATCTTAAACCCAACCTCATGAACCCCCAAAAATCTTGGGCGTATCCCTGCCTTCACCCAGACGAAATAGCCCCCATCTGGCTTCACAAACTCCTCAGGCAGTGGCCAAGTCTGAAGGGTAATCAGGGATTCAGGGATTCCCTAAGGAGCCCAGGCATACCACTAGCCTCCCTAGGTTCCCCAAAATCAAGCTTGACTAGCCTTAACTGCCCTAAGCCCTAAACCCCACTCCCTAAGCCTTAAGCCCGAATACCTAAACCCTAAACCCGAATCCCTAAACCCTAATCCTTAAACCCTAAACGCTGAACCCTAATCCCTTAACTGCTATATAGGAGTTGGTCAGGGAACCCAGGTTTCGTCCAGGGCTTATGATGGAGTATTTCTCGGTTGCCTCTGAGGTGCGGGGGGTTTAGGGTTTAGGGCTTAGGGTTTCTTAGGGTTCAGGGCTAATGGGGGCTGATGGGTTAATGGGTTATAAGTTACGAACCACACCCCTTCTCTGTAGTGGCACTTACGAGTACTTTGTTGTAACGTGTTTTTTGCCTGCCCCGATGATTTCAGAAGACCCCTACGTCAAGGATGCTACTTCATCGCCGCAATGTTGAAGCTGCCCTTTACAAATTTCAGGCACTACGTATGTCCACATCAAGTCAGAACTCTAGCTTCAACCCCAAAGAGGCACACCTACCTTAGGTGATCCCTACCTTAAATAGTCAGGATACTCGTAACAACATTCTGGTCTCGCTGTGCTGCTACCATAACACTTTTGGTGATTGAATGGTTCAACTCCTGGTAATTCCACAGGAAAACTAGCAGTTCAGAAAGAAGGGTATGTGCGCGTTGAGAGAGAGTTAGCTTCCTAAAAGCTTCATTTCTTTCGGAGGCTCTGCCGCTTGTTGGGAAGAGGGTGCATGCCAGTAAAAATATCCTCAGCACGTGCAAGCAAACGATACTTGCACTTCGAGAACCTCAGCCATGATCTCAAGTAGGACCCCGCCGAACATCCCATTCAGCGTCCCCACGCCTCTCAAGTGAGGCCCAGAGCATTTCCAAACCCGAGACTCTACAATCTCCACACTCTACACCTTTTTGAAATCCTCGAACCCTGCCCTCTGGACGAACAGCATGCGCTCTGAGTGTCAAGGTCAAGTTCCTCCAGCTTCTGGCACAGGAAATCACCTCAACTGCAAATCGACCTGACTTGGGAGTCTAGTGGTGACCACATCACTTGAGGTCCTCCGGAAACATTGGCCATCAAGCAGCTGTGTTAGTAGCTAAAGGACCACAATAACGCAGAAGGTTCAAATTCAAGTCAATCCCACAACCAATTGCGCACAGTGTCTTGTTACTTTCGGGTCCAAAGCTTATGGTAGTGAAAGTATAGGTTCTGTGGCGATAGTTTGAGTGCCGCTGCTTGCGGCTGCCTACGAATAGACGGCCTAATCCAAAAACCTACGGAATCAGTTCTGGATTTGACCGTTGCCAGGAGAAACTGGGAAAACGAGAGCCGCTGTCGTTGTTGCACTATGTGGGGCTGCCGTCCTTGCAAAATAATACATCAGATCTTCAGTCTGGGTTACCTCATTCTAACTCTTTGACCCTGAGCCCCAAATTTCTAACCCAGTTGAGGCTGTTGGGGCTGAAAGTTCGATTGAGCTTACGAATGCAGGCGCTACTACTACTACTACTACTACTACTACTACTACTACAGGACTACGCATAAGAAACAGCAAGCGGAAACAACGACAGTTCGACTTCAAACCACATGAACCTGCAGAATCCATGGCCACGACCAGCCATACCTGGACTTAGTGTCCCATGGGGATGCGAACCTACAAGCAAAACCCACTGCGGGCCTTGCAGTCCATACAGTAAATACTGGCAGCTTTGGGCTAATTTGAACCCCTACGGTTCCAAGCAGGAAAAGAGCACCCTCAATGACCTGTTGGTTGCAGACCGCTACAATCAATACTTTCCAAAGGCCCTCTTCTTGGGAAAGGGGCCATCAAACTGCTTCATCTGCCCTGGAACCCCTCCCCAAAATCACGTGTAGCTGCTTGTTGGGCTTTGAGGCATTCAAGAGAAAAACAGGACTCCCATGTGGATCCCGCAGGAAGGAACTCTTGCATGTCAAGACATTTCCTATAACCCAACTTTGCCTGCGGAAGATCTCCGACACAAGATCTCCCTCGAGTCTCGGGCCGTAAGCCGCTAAACCCTATCGGTCAATACACAAACTCCTGCATGACCCTAAACCCTAAACCCCTAAACCTTATAGTGCACAAACTCCCGGGAACTCCATAGTGGAAGCTTCTTGGGGTCATGCAGGATTCTCAAGATGAACAGAATCAGAGCCGTGTCGCGTCTTTCCTTCAAATCGTCTGAGACCGCTTGGATGTGCTTGCCCAAGGCCCCAGAGTCCAGAAAGTGTTGCAGCCCCATGGAAGAAAAGATCACAGGGTTGCCTGTGCCCATGTGAGCCAGAGTCTACACTCCTACCTCTGATCCCCTACATAACCCCCCTGTATGGAGTTTAGACCCTAAAGTTGTAACTCAAGCTGATATGGTTTAGGTTTAGTGTTACAGGGTTTTGGTTGGATTGCCTGGATTGAGTTGCTGTCAGGTTTAGGGTTGAATGCTGCTGCCCCTGCCATATAGCAGATGTACATCTAGTACTTTTGGGAGGGAAAGGATGCAGTTTGCATATTGGAGGGCTGATGTAGGATGGAGGAATTGGTTTCAGGCCTAACGTTGTTAAGGCCGTTGTCTGAGATCGACAGCTGAGTCTGGAGCAGTTGGGCTCAAACCATGACACTGGATTTCTGGAAATTGACCATTTCAGCGGTCTTACGCATACATACAGGCCCTGCGCTCTCAAACGATATGAATGTCTAAAGGAGGTTACAGCGGGCCTCCGTAGGATTGTGATAAATGACTGTTTCTTTTAGCTCCCAAATCCATCTTCCACACTTCAAGGGTTCATATGGTTGTCATCACCTTTTTACAGCTTCAGTTGCAACGCTCGATATTTTGCATGGATTGTAACCTTCAACCCCATAATTCCTTGTCCAGCCCTGCAAAACTAGACCCTGAGCTGAATTCATGCAGAGCTGAGGGCATGCTCTCAAGCTGGACGACAAAAGGCATTCAAGGTAGGCTAAGAGACATTGTGCAATGAGCCCCTTTCAAAACATGCCATGCAACCACAATGCTGCGGATTTTGATTGAAGTTCATGGTTGCCGTCCTGAAGGGGTACACCTTCAAAGGCCAAGCCTACTTTGTTTAATGAGCTTGTAGGTTTATGCGTGGTTGAAGTACGGGGGCCCGAACGAATTATATCGATGTGTCCTACTTATAACTCGAGTTTTTACTACCAGCGAACCAAGCAAGATGCAGTTCCCTCCCCCAACCAACATGAAACCTGAAAGGGGTCTCCAGGGAACCTAGGGATGTGTGGGATTTTCGGATGATTGGCGAATCTGAACTTCCTGAGCAGAGCAACTGCCGCTCACCACCCAGCCGACGTTGCCGAGCTTGTTCAAAAGGGGCTTATGCGCCTGCCAGGTATGCCCTGTTTGCGTTAGGGTTTGGTGTTTAGAGAAATGTACGAACTCTATACCTGAACCTTGTGATGGAATCCCGAGCATTCAAGGTACCGACTAGGGTTCAAGGCTTCGCAACCTTGGGGTTTCAAGGACTTCCTGAGGCTTTGTAAAGATATGTAATTATTCTTCCTTTTGATAGCCTATACACCCAGCCCCCTTTCCAACCGTCCCGGCGCCCGCATCCCAAAATCACAACATCTCCTGGAAAAATGCTCTTGTCTGCCCTACAAATATGCCATGAACCTGTTCAAATTAAATCATACTCGTTCCAAAGCCCGAAAGAACACCATCACGGAACCCTACACCTAAAACACGTGGTCGGGTGAGGTAGCGATCATCTGGCCAGCCCCTTATGATACCCTTTCGACCCAAAACTCAAAACCTTGTAAACCCCAAACCCTCAATTCTAAACTCCATAAACTGAACAAACGCTAAACAGACCCCGAAACCTACGTAGACCCCTATAAACCCGAAACACTGTACAGTCCTAACCCTAGGCCATGTAGGTACATACAAATAAATGCCATTCATACAAAATCTGCCCCTAATCCCAATTTCTTTACCCATCCCGCCTGGACCCAGCCGACTTTGAGCCCAGGGCCAATGAGCTTCGAGAATGTCCCAACGGAGAGGACACGGGGGTTCTCTGCGTTGTCATGGTAAAACCTTTCGCGTTTTGGGGTTTAGACCCTAGGGTTTGGGGTGTACAGGGTTTGGGGTTCAATGTGTGGTCATGGTAGAGCGTCGAAGACCAGAAGCTCATGAACGATACCTACTGTGGGCAATCAACTCTATAAGCAGCACCTGATTCGGTGCATCCGACGCACTTGAAAAACGTGTTAAGAGTAAGGGTGTGGTGCTTCGGTAAAAACACTGATTGGCTACCACGACTTTAGTGAGATTGGGTTCAAGCTTTCATGGCAAGCCCTCTTCAAAATGTCTTTCGGGGTTTGCAGTATCGGCTGAGGATTTCCTAACTAAATTTCTGCGTAGAGTACACATGACCATGCAGGATAAGCGATAACCCAAGACAGCTCGATGATCAAACCACAAAAAATGGCTCCACGTCGACTAATTCACCACTCACATGCGTTGTTCTTGTTCAACTCGCGGGTGCCTAAACCCAAACTCCCTGGACTCCTGAAATAAGGTAAGTAGCAAGGGCTTCACTTTGGAAGCCTGAAAATTCAGCAGCTGATAGGCCTCATCAGGGGGCATTGTCCCTGAGACATTACATGAAGGGGTCTGACAGAACAAATGAGTGTGAGGCATAAGGTTGGTATTTCTGCGTTTAGGGTGGCTCATGGGTAAGCAAGAAGGGGCCTGGTAGTTGTAGAATGGGAACACGAATATAAGCATCCATACTATACAAGGTGTAGAAATCAAAATAAGAAAGCTACTCCACATAGGGGTACCTTTCGGTATCCAAGGAATGGAAAGTTCATGGGCTGCTCCGGATTCTTGGCTAAACTCAAAAACTATACAGTAACAAGGTAGTTTTCATAGCCTCCCCCCACAACATGCAGGCCCAAAAGGGATCTACAAAGATTACCGCCCTTTTCATAAGGCCTACATATAGTTCCTTGTTTGTGTGAGTTGTTTACTGGCCCATTAGACGGGACATACATTCCCTGACACCCCCCGATAATACGTACACCCCAGGTATGTATTGGTCTTATAATCATGGGGAATTGAAGGCACCGTTTTAAGGTGCATGGGTTCTCAGAGGGAGGCCATTTATCAGGACAAAACCTATAATTTTGAGAGTAGCCTACATCAGCCTAAGCCAAGACGGAGAATTTTGGTCGACGATTACATGACGCTCATGGGTTGGGATCAGCCAGACCGTCCTATTGTGAGCTCAATACCTTGAACTCTGAGACTAAACGTCTTGCAGCTACATGGTGATTAAGGTCGAAGGTTACGTGTTCGTAAGTTCAAGGCTTTTGCCCGCAAATCGCATGTTCTGATATTGCATGTTCCACTGTCTTGCATTCCTTGTGCTGTGTAGAACATGAAAAACGCGATCCAAACGTCTCATGTTTCTAGCAGGACATGTGCCTTGTGACGCTGGGATGGCCACTGCTCCTGGAGCGATGGAATCTTCGAAATACTTGAAAATGCCAACAAGACAGGACACTTCTACTGTAAGAATTTGATAAGCTCCACGGGAAAGGATGCTAGCTCCAACTTTTTGTTCTCAAAAAATGACGCCTGGCCCCGCCATTGGACACACCCTTGCTCCGAATCTTCCACCTTGTTCATGCTAGATCCGTATCGGGAGCGTCTCGTTGTGAGGGGTGGAAAAGGGCCTAGCCCTTGCGTGGACAATCCGTCAGACTTTAGGCAGCCCAAGCAGAACGAAAAACACTGTTTGAAGGGCCCCACACACTGCAATGCTCTCGAATAGAGTTTGCCTGAGTTGCTGTTCGCCCGGAGTGTAATCAGAGCCCCAAAACGAAGACCCATGCCGTGCTGAGTTCAGGAAACACCCATGTCAAGCGTGGCCTCGTCAGCGATCAGCAAGAAGTCATACCTAGCGTCTGCAGCTCTTTTGACTGCATAAAGTAAATTACAAACAAAGCAATCTCTGACTCAGGCAGCATACGTTGACAAACAAGTCCGAAAGTCATCTTGGCCAAGCACAGCATATGACTCCCGAACGATTTTTGTTTGGAGCAAGTAACACCTTAAGGGCCCTGGTCAGTTGGTGACGTCTTCCTCTACGAGCAAAATCCGGCACCTCCTAATAAGAAACTACCCTATTTGGCAGGCTGAAGGGTTTTCAGCACTACGGTCATCACAGGAGGGGCGTCTGCCTCAGTCGGAAGTAGTCCGTAAGCCAAGGAACGAAAATTCCATCAAAGAATGCCAGTGTGTATTGCCATGTCTGTAACAAGCCAGACAAAGAACCATATCGGAGCCGTTGAGTACACTAGCACATCAAAGTAAGCTTTATAAGCCCTGAAGCCTCAACCCACAACTCAAATCCTCAAGCCCAAAGCACCTTTCAAATTCACCCTTAACACTGAATCCTGAACCCAGGGACTTCAATGCAAGCTCTATGAGCTTCGCGCGCTTGGCGTCAGACATGGTATAGCCTCTGCAGGGCTTAGGGTTTAAGTCTGAGGGTTTGGAGCAGGTCTAGGATAGAGTTAGTAGGCTGCAGGGTTCAGGGACTCAGGGTTGAGAGTCTTGGGTTCCGGGTAAGGGCTCTGAGATGGGGAAAGGAATGAAACCAACATACCAAAATAATGAATTCCGTGCAGGGGTGAGGTTCGGGAACAGAGTTCAGGCTCATGATGGCACATCCCCCAAGAATCTCTTCTAAAGACCATGGCGGGAAAGGAAGGTTAGGGGTAGCCAGATGGCATCATTAAAGCAATCTCGTCATGCAAGGCCTCAAGAGTTATACTTGCGCAGACCTTGCTTTCCTCTTTTGCGGTTCCGTACTGTGTGAGTGTGGGGCGCATCCAAAACTCGAAATAGCAAGTCAAGTTGGGTCGTGGGTGGTTCCACACACACACAGAATTTCACTTGCGTCTGGGCATACAGTGGATATGTACATGTGTAGACATATATATATATACACCTGTACGTTACCGCGTGTACCGAAGAAGTATTCTTAAACCTTGCCCTATTTAATCCCTACCCCATCCCCCCGCCACTTGAAAGCAGCATCAGGATGACGGTAGTCTGGGTTGCTGTTGAAGAACTTTTTAGTATCAACAATACTAGAATAAGGAATCCTATCATTCACTATATATACCCGCAAATAGGGTGACTTAAAGTAAGTAAGTTCCTTAACAGAAGCCCAGTAGTTGTTGCAGCATTGT